GACAAACCGTTGCCTCAAAAATTGATACAATCAATGCTGCGCTTGTGAAACGCTAGTAAAAGGAAGCCCTGAACTCATTGATCATGGGTCGTGTGAATGTAATCACACGGGTGCGAGACACAATGGCGAACTCGAAAGATCTGCAAAAGGAAGACTCGGATAGACGAGGTCGTGAAGACAGAATGTCTTTTATTGTGGGGGATTAAGGATAACTTATTGCTAAAAACTATCAGACGATGCAGTCTAAAGCTTGGGAAGTCTGAAGCTTTCATTTCGCTGCATCGGTTCACCTGTCAAGATCGCTACGATCCAAATTCGAAGTTCAACGTAGGGCTCCTCCAGCCCTATTATCGCGACGACGCGACTTCCAGCATGGATGAAACGCAGGGTTTTAGAATGTGGCCTTAAAGCCACAGCTTCGGCACGAGGGTCCGAAGTTAAATCCCTTCGGCGTCGTCGCCTCAGCATCATCCTCAAAATGATGAGGATCATCGTGAGCTTTGTAGCCAAATGTGCGATCGCGAGAGCCGAAACGTTGAGGGAAAGCATATGGCTGAAGAGTGCGTTGGCGATTACTGCTAAAGTATCATCCATCCGAATCAGAGCGAGATTACTTGGTAGAAGGCTCGGCAACTCAGCGACAGCAGCCGCAGACGGTGAAAGAACCTGCATAGCGTTCCCCAATTGCCAAATTTGATTCTCAATTGCAACCCCGGGCGAGTTTCCATGACACGATGCGAGATCTCGAGCTTCGCATATGACCCGTCAAGTATCCTTCACGCCCTGGACACCCGGCCAAATACCTCGATCATCTACCGGTCCACCAGCAAAAGGAATTTTCCTGTCTTCGTCAAACACAATTCCAAATCAGACGAAGACTGTGAGGCAGTCATAGAAGCAGCAGAGGCAATGCCCTTTTTGGGCACCTCCCCTCTTTTTGTTTGACAGGAATTCCATGTCAAGAACGTGGTGGTGGAGTGAGATGTCCGCGTTCGGAAGGAGCATTTGTGAAATGGCTGGGTTGTTCAGCGAACGAGAATTCGTGAGAGCCTCGTTTCAAATGCTTTGCGACTATCCTGGTATTATTCTCACGTTCGATGCGGGTCTAAAGTCGGACTTCGTTTAGGAAATCTGCAGCGGGGCTGCCGTAGCTTTGCGCTTGAGGAAGCGTCTTTAGGTCACCGACCTTTCGTTCTATACAGGAACCAAGTACTAGTGCAGCGGATCGCAATCCGCTGCCTCTAAAAGTACTTAAAAGTCTTACCAAGGCAAACGAACACTTATGTTCAGAATCGAAACTGATTTTTATTTATATTTTTATCCTAATTTTGAAATAATAATTTTTTCCAAATACACTAAATATATATAGTAAAATCTAAATACATTCATAACTACTGGCTACCTAGCCCCGTTCCGTATTCTTGTTTGGGTGTGTGGTCACATTATTCACATCTCGTGTGACACGCACCCTGTTATAAGGACTCGTATGACCCCGTTACACCCTCCCCCATCCAAACTGAGAACATTTACAGTTCCAATCAATCATTGCCTCGACGAGGCTCGCGTGTCCATTAGACACTGCAAATCCATTTGTTGGAAATAACAACTTCCTTGCTCAATGAG